AATGTCGAATCAAGAGGCTCTTTTTTTTTTTTTTTTTTTTTTTTTTTTTAACAACACTGGCTCCTTTCTATACGTGGGTAGCTGCACGAATCGGGAAATGTGCCCAACGTCCGTCATAAATATGCTGAGGCCGGAGACGTGACTCTTTTTCGACTCCCGCCTACTCTACGAACCTGAATAAGTGCATGGCGCCGTGTCATTGCTTTCTCACGACTTTTTTTTTTCTTCTTCTGTCTTTTTTGCACCAAACATTTTGTTATTATTTGCGTCCCTCACGACGTTTCAATGGGGCTCTGGTTGACTGTAATCTCCGCATAATTCACCCGGCCCATGTGGCTGAAGGGTACACTCATCAACTTGAGTGGCCTTTCTTAGGAAAAGAAAAACGGAAAAAAAATCTCCTTACAGCGCATTTCCTATCTTTTTTTTTTGGGACAATTTCTCGAGTAGGTCTTATGCTTTGTCATCTTTGTGCAGGGGCCATGCTAATCCATTTCTCTGTATCGTTCCAATTTTGACGGATGTCCCCAAGGACTCGTTTCTTCTTTTGCAATCGCGGTCTCAACTGGTTTGTGGCCTGTTGCTCTTTTTGAAGTTTAAAGTTTAAACCCTCTTTCCTAAGTTCTTAACGGGTGAGATTTTTTTTTTTTTTTTTTTTTTTCCCTGTCATTTTCCATTTGACGTCACCATGCAAGGTCTCACTATGGTTGAGATACACCTTTCTCGGCCTTTTGACTAAGTAAGATCGAGTGTCGTATCTGACAATCTGTTCTGAGCAGTTTAATATCTGGTCCGAGGTCCGTCGGACCACACTGGAAAAAAGAAAAAAAAGAAAAAAAAAGGGTTGAGATCTGACTTACGTGGCATGGTCCATGGAATGTTTTTGTCGTTTTCTGGCTCTCTGCAGGCAACGGCACAGGCACAGGCTGTCGCCGAGATCAGCGAACTGGAGTCTCTCCAGCTGGTAACCGGTTTTCCTGTCTTTAAATTTCTCTTTCTTCTTTTCCTCCGTCTTTTGCTTTTCTTTTTTTTTTTCTTTTTCTTTTTCTTTTTCTTTTTCTTTGACGGTGGTGTTAAAACTTTAAAGTTAAAAGTCGACAGGGAGAACAAAAAGAAAGTCGGCAGGGGAACTCCGTCCGATCCTATTTCACAAGAGAAATCATATTGATATGTCAAAGTGATTACGGACAAATGTTTTTCCCCACTACAACGCTTGAACGCCTGGTCCTTACATAGCTGTAATTACTGCAACTTCGAGGCCGGATACATATGTTATTCTGACAGGGCATCAGTGTGTTCTCCAGGGGCGTGGTCCCACTAGCAAAGAGGATCGGATCGAATGCCTGAATCTGGACGTGTTTGTAAACAGGTGCAGGAAATCGAGATTGAACTGCTTTAAATTTCTGCATCTCTGCATAAAACACATCCTGACCGGATACATATGTTATACTGACAGGGCATCATTGTGTCTCCAGGGGCGTGGTCCCACTAGCAAAGAGGATCAGATTCGAATGCCTGAATCTGGACGTGTTTGTCAACAGGTGCAGGAAATCGAGATTGTCAGATTGAACTGCTTTTCTGCATCTCTGCATAAAACACATCCAGATTCACGAGCTCGATCCTATCCTTTTTGCTAGTGGGACCTCGGCCCAGAAGAGGGGTGGTTAACACAATCGAAACCATTTTCTAAACAATGATCACGCTTTTTTTTTTTTTTTTTTTTTTTATTATTTGAAGAACGCCTATCGATTAGTGGGCAGCAGTGCCTCAGCAGCACCTGCTGGGAAACGGGCCCAGCGTCCCAAATGATTCAATATGATACAGAAAATTTGGGCAATAGCAGCATCGATTGCACTACGTAGGCAAAGTCCAGGGGAATGAACTGCCTGCCAGTGCCTGGATATTCCATGACATTGTCACTAGTAAGAAGTCTGCAGATTTCAAATCTCAAAATTTAATGTGAATGAAGTTTAATAACCTTACGTTATTTAAAAAAACAAAACAAAAAAATAAAAGAACATCTTCGTAAATTTGACCCGGTACGAAGGTTTTGAGTTCCCTTTTTTTTTTTTTTTTCCCCCGAAAACTTCACGCCCCGGGAAACCACCTGCTTAACGACGTGATAAGAGCATCCTCCTTAAGCAGGCCCCAGTATTGAAGCCTCCATCTATTGGTGGGGAGCAACATCTGCTGGAAATCGGGTCCAGCGTCCCTGTACAACTCAATTGTTTGACTTAGTGTAGTTACTTAGTTCCGGGGCCAAGTCCCACTTAGGCTGATTCTTTATTTCGGATCGTTGATCTTGCGAATCTACGGTCAGAAGAGAGATTTCGGGTAAGTGGGACTGGGCTCCCGGTTTCAACTTTCAAGTATCCATAGGTCCCTGACATCCGATCTCAGACTGATAATTCCACGGCCACATGGTGACCACCACTGTGACGTGGAAAAGTACTCAAAACCAGAACAACGATTAAGGTTTAACTAAACCTCCGCAAGCGGGGCACGGGTCCGGGTGATCTACCGTCTTCCCCTCGAATAGAATGTACGGTCACGCCGTCACGGTGTGTGCATGCTGAGGTGGTGATGAACACTAGTAATCTGTTTAGTGACACTCTGAATACCGTGGGCTTTCCCAATGTCATTTCCGACAAGGCCCTTATAGTTTTTAATACCCGATGTTATTTCCGACAAGGCCCGTACAGTTTTTAATATTTGATGTCATTTCCGACAAGGCCCTTATAGTTTTGTATACGCGATGTCATTTCCGACAAGGCCCTTAATAGTTATTAATACCCTATGTCATTTCCGACAAGCCCTTACAGTTTTTAATACCCGATGTCATTTCCGACAAGGCCCTTATAGTTTTTAATATTTGATGTTATTTCCGACAAGGCCCTTATAGTTTTTAATACCCGATGTCATTTCCGACAAGGCCCTTATATAGTTTACCAAAAGGTGGGCGGGGCGTGGTCGGATGGGATACACTGGTTTACCGGCTGCCACGGCGGCTGGGCATGTTGATTGAGTCGGGTCTGGCGTGGTTTAGGTTCAATGGGACTCTTTCGGCATTTCCTATGATGAGGGCTAAGTTGGGCCCGGTACTTTCTGCCTCCGGGGGCCAAGTCCCACTTCGCCAAGTCTTCATTTCTGAACGTTGATCTTCGGAATCTACGGTCAGAAATTGAGGATTCGGTTAAGTGGGACTTGGCCCCCGGATGGGAGTACAGGAGATGTCTACTGACTGAGAACTACCTTCTTCACCAGCATACAAAGTACGGTCATTAGAACTGTATTTGGGCCAACCGCACGTTGTATTCGGGTGAAGAAGGTAGGTGAGATGGCAGACTGGCAGTATATAGGTTAGTCTTTTTTTCGTTGTTGTCAACCAGCGCTACCCCTGAAGATGGCCGGTACACGGGCGGACCGGACCGGCCGAAACACGTGTAAGGTTATAGCTAGTAGGGCTGTATAGGACTTCATGCAAAGCCGCTTGTGCCTATATTTCTATTACCTAGGAGCCAACGACCGCTTGGCTCACAACGGGATGCAATCGTCCGCCCAACGCCCAACAAGTCAAACGCGGTGCACTTCGCGGGCGAAGGCGAAGTGCACCGCCGTATCTCTGCCACGACTCGGAGAAACGCGAGGCAAGAGAGAAACGACTGCACCAGGCATCCAATCTGCTGGGACCAACCGAAATGCAAGAGAGAAACGACTGCACCAGGCATCCAATCCGCTGGGACCAACCGAAGCCCTACCACCTGTGTACGCGGGAGCAAAAGGAACATCTCATTCCCATTAGATCCGCACGCCGGGCCTGTTGCCGCCGGCCACATCAACAGAACTCGACGCGGCAGCTACCATTGAAGATTACATGAGCTGATTGCACACGGGTGGATTTGCTATCTGTCTTCCTTTCCTTCTTCCTTCTTCATCTCGCCTTCTTTCGTTTTCTCTTCCTTCTTTCCATAGTGTCTATGGATGACCTAATGTGTTCACACATGGCTGCTTATGTTGCATGAGTTCTCGCTCTCACTCTCTCAAAAAAAAAAAAAAAAAAAGTCAATTATTTTTTCCCTGATCTCTATAAATTAACCAATGGTCCAGTTCTGTCAAAGGTAACCAACTGGGACCCTTTGCATTAAAAAAAAAAAAAAAAAAAAAAAAAAAAAGAAGGTACCCAACAGGGACGTAGTAGTAGAGGTTTCGCACAGGAGAAAGATTACAGACTGTCTGCAAGCAGCAGAGCCCAAGATGTGTCTCTGTATGGTGAACACTGAACTGAAATGTACATGTATCAGTTTGTCTATCATTTCTAAACCCTACGATCCTTTCCTTTTTCGGGTAAATGACCATAAATCTTTTTTTAAGTTTTTTTTTTTTTTTTTTTTTTTGGTCACAGTGATAAAGAAAAAGTAGGTATTTTGCAAATCTCATCCAAATGGAGTGTGAGGACAGACGAGATGAAAGGAAACAGGAGATCCACAGGTTCCACACGTCGCACACGAACAGCGTGATAGAGGACGTCAACAAAAAATATTCATCTTGAGGTTCTTTTTTTTTTTTTTTTTTTTGCCCTTTCTTTCTGCCTTTCTTTTTTGGGTAGAGGCATCAGTGGTACAATCCTCAGGACCTCAGCTTTCTGTTAAGCATCAAGGACTTCGGCGAGCTCACCTGACTGTCATTCCACCAATCCAGTCCAAAAAGAGCTAGCCTGAGTCTATGCCACCGCTAGTAATAATGGGTACCGGAGTGAAATACTATACTGAACGTGGGGGTTACGCAAGAGTAATTTGAACGGTCTTCATCTTCTCTTTTTTATTTCGTAAGGGACATGTTGGTCTAAATCTGGGCCACCAGCCGGACTGCCAGGGTCACCTTGTGACCTTGGTTGCCGCCCGGGCAGCCCGGCTGTGTGCAAGAGCCAGGGAAGGTCCCAGCAAACAAAAAAAAGAAAAGAAAAACCAAAAAACATCCGAGAAAAACAGTGTTATGTAGAAAAATAAACTGAACAATTTTGGCCCCAGGGGGCGAGGCCCCACTAGCAAAGAGGATTGAATCACCTGAATCTAGACATGTTTGAGGAAAGGCGCAGAAAATCGAGATTGAACTCCTTTTCTGCATCTCCGCCTAAAACACGCCCAGATTCAGGATGTTAATCCAATCCCCATTGCTAGTGGGACCATGCTCAGGGTTACATCGAGTTTCTTTTAAATACCAAATAAAAATAAAATGTTTTTTTTTTTTTTTTTTCCTTTGGCCTGGCCGGGCAGGTGGTCCCGGGCCACTCTGGTAGCCCAGGTCTAAATGCGTTCTGCATGGATGTATGATGACTAATTGCACTCTGGTAGCCCAGGTCTAAATCAGACTCGTTCTCATTCACACTTCTCGTGCATGTAAACAGTAGCCCAGCAAACTGGCGACATGCGCCCACACAAAACTCAGAGATATAGCATCCAGATACGAGTTCACTTTCAACTGGCTATGGGGACTCAGCGCCCAAACAACTCACTGTTCACATACACCGGATCACCCTGGATATCCCACAAGCGTCACTCTGAACACTCAGACATACACACACACACTTCACACTAAACTACAGCTATGGCAGCTATGGCTGCCTCTACCCTATCGCTATGCTACGCTCCTTCTCTCTCGCCCACTTCAGCTCCGGGCTCTCTGCAGACCTCCTTGCACAAGTCGCTGTGGCAGCGCTTCCGCATGGCTCAAGCAAGAATGAATGAAAGGCTGGGCGTTGCCTCTTGATTTTCTGAAACTCGTTGGTCTGCCCTCTTCCATCGGCCCATGGTGCTGACAGTCCCTTGTGGTACTTGCTGGACCGGACTGGGACTGACTGGACCTTACCGCTGACTGAGTGGGGACTCACTGCTAACCTACCGAGATCGTACTGCAATTGCACTGCAGTTTAGTCCACCACTTGACTCACCACTTGACCACTTGCCCACTGGCTGACCTTTTAGAAGGACTACAGCTAAGACTTCTGGAACTCGCTAAGACTTCTATTCCACAGATCTACAGATCAAACCCCTACCACCTACGGACCTATGACAGCCTACCAACTGTTTACGAATACACAGGTCACAGGTTCAACTCTCGGGGTCTACACAGGTACTGTACACAGATAGGGCAAGGTCTAGGGATCGAACCCTGGGATCTGCGTCTGCTACTGCACAGAGGTGAAAACCGTTTCACAGGGAAATTTCGTTCTATATTAGACTATATATGATTTTCTTGTGCGCACAAGATTGAGATTGGTTAGTACGTTAAGGCTGGAATGACACCTTTTTTTTTTTTAATTCAATTTTTGTTCCTCTTGACGTACTGACTGTGAGCGTTGTCGCCTTGTTCGTGTTCCCCCCCGCCAACCCCCCCCACCCCCCCTCTTCTGAACCTTGCGCAGACGAGGAACCTTCTTCGAATTGCCATTTTTAACATCTCGTACATACGTGGACTTTTTCCAGACAAGTACTTCGATGACAAATTTGTTCCTGCTCTAGGTACGTGCCTCATATTTTCCTGCGTGCAGATTCTGCGGAATTGCAATTTTTTGACATTAATGTGGTAGTGTGAGATTAAGGATCAGTGTCCTTTGTCCTCTCTTTTTTGTGTTTTTCTTTTTCCCCTCTCGTTTTTCTCTCTGTTTTGAAGTTTTTCTGCTCTTTTTTCTCTCGTTTTCCGACTTCTCCTTTTTTTTTCTCTCATTTTCCAAAATTTTCCTTTTTTTCCCCTCCCGTTTTCAACAGTCCTTCGTTGACCCGAGGTGGGTGGATTACCTTTTTTTTGTAATGCCGAGGATCTTTTTTTTTTTTTTTTTTTTCACTTTCCCGTTTTTGTAACTTGTCGAGTCCGTGTTCACTGTCTGGAGGCAGGTGCATCCACTGGCAGGCTCCCTTTTTAATCATCAAATTCATCACCCCTCTTGTACTTTCTTCACGTCACACTACCTTCCCTGCTTGGTTCTTTGTTTTGCGGAAATTTGCGCTCGGTCTTGTTTTCTTCTTCTTTTTCTTTCCCCCTGCTGTTTTCTAACTACGCCCTTGAATCTGGCAAAGTGGATTCTGGATTTGCCACTTGAATCTGGACAGGTTTTATGGAGAGATGCAGAAAAGCACATCATTTGTGGGTTTCTGCAACTCTCCACGAACATGTCCAGATTCAGGCGATACAGTCAAATTGAATCCTCTTTGCTGCTGGGACCCCTTGTGTCATGTGTTCCTTATTTGTGCCTTCTTGAGCGTTTTTTTTTTTTTTGGGGGGGGGGGGGGGGGGGG